GCCGTCCACCAACGATGTCCAGTACCATCGCATGGCACCGCGAGTGAGAGCCTCTCAGCCGGTTGAGGACCAAGCGGCAGTGTGTCTGGGAACCGGACCGATATATATATATTTTTTCTTTTCCTCTCTCCCCTCTCTCGTATCTGTCTCTCCTCATCCTTCCATCTCCTTTTCTTTCGCCTCGCCTGTCTGTCCTTACCCCCAGGTACACCGTGGCCACCGTGATCGGCTCCCCCGGAGCGGTGTAGAGCGCAGTCTCGGGAGTACACCCCGGTCTGCGAGGGGCGATGGGGGTATGTGACGAGTGGGGGTGGGGCCGAGAGCCGTGGGAACGGAGCAAGGCCGGTGGAGTAATTGATAATGAGCGACACCTGCACCACTCACCGGTCTCGAGTCCCACGGAGGAGCTCCGGAAGGATAAAAGGAGGAGTGACGACAGTGAAAGACGAGAGATTCATATAATTCATACACTACATAGGTGCATAGTATTTCATTTGGGACACTCAATTCATTAAACTGTACTGCAAATAGGCTATTTCATAAATGGAACAGGGTCTGAATAAGAAATAAGAGCTTTTGCCAGTGAGCGACCACCAGGGCAATATTGTGGTTTGCACAGGCACCAATCACGACTTCTTCAGAAAATGATCTAGTTTCTCTGCTACAATCTTTCCTTAGCATAGCTTTTCCACAACACAGAAAGGGTTTAGACAGAATTCCTTTACTTCATATAGGGCATTGTGCAATTTACTGCAAACATAAAAATCTTTTTTTCATTCTTTTTTATTCATTTGACACGGTCATATGAATGCATCAAAATTATTACATGTTCTATGCCTACACAGCTGAGAAAAACAGCATGTCAGTTTACAATAGAATAGTGCAGGCAATATAAACATACATACTATTATAGTAACAATATGGTTTAAAAAATGTCATCATTGTCTGTGTTATTGCCAAATGGTCGACCAATAGTTTTTTTTTTTAATTGGCCGATTTTGATATCTACAGAGAACAGTGATCTTGATGATATCAAATACAATTGTATGTATTTGAAAGAAAATAATGTACAGTACCTTTCATTGTATAAATTAAATTTTTTTAAATTGCTGTTTATAATTATATTAATTTAAGATCAATTATTTGCTGTCTGGGTGGAACAAATCTTGGGTCTGGATCTAGGCTGCAGTGTGCTAATTGATGACCTCTGGACAAGGCTGTCGGTATTTGGAACTGAGCCAAATAAGTGAATGCTTCCTGAAGTGGAGCTTCGTAATAACATAGAAAGCCAGCAAGAGAATAACCTTAAGGGGAATGTTTTGTCATGCACCTGTCAAGTTTGAGATTTTGGGCTTTTTGGTGTTTTTTCAGACTAGTGGAAAGAAAACATCCAAAAGACACTGTTAAGTGTTTCTTTTCTAGCACTTTATCTATCTGTGCCAATAGATTTCACTTACAATACATATTTTTAAAGGCCGTTTTATCAAAATGAGTTTTTTCTCCTACACTGAGCCATAAATCTCCACTTTAGTAGTACTTACAAACACCAGTCTTTACATTTTTATTCCTGTCTATATCCTGAAGGTTTTTACAGAAGGATTTGTTCATATATAATTTGCTTGATTATATACAACATTTTAATCCCCCAAAAATTGTGAAAATATAGTGTTTTGTCCGTTCTAATCATTTTCTGAATTATGGAGTGACAAAAATGAGATACCCAAAATTCTCTCTGTAAAAACTTTTGACTGTAATATGTCAAAAAAAAATAAATAAGAATTTTGAAACTGACATCATCCAGTGTTTAGATTTTTGTACTAGAAATGTATGCAAATGAGCGCATATTTCATTAAATAATGACTCATTTGCATATCTAAACCTATCATTTTAGAAAACTTGTTATACAAAAAATGTTGGCAATTATCAACGTAATCAATCAGCTGGGTAAGTGTAGCGAATCAGCTCATGGGGAAATATGGTAAGGCGATAACTATTAGTTTTTGTTTTTTTACTCTATTCACTTGCAGTGTCTCACCTTAGAGATCAGCATGCCTGGCATCTACTGAACACCCACTTCTGCCTAATCACTTGCCTGTGTTGCATTAAAATCTACTTAAAATACAATATGTGCACTTTAAATAAATGTATCATAGCATTAGTTTTGGCAGTAAAAAAAAAAAAAACTATTTGAATTTCCCAGCAAGCCAAAGTCACACAAACATGCTGATTAAGGCGATAACTATTAGTTTTTGTTTTTTTACCCTATTCACTTGCAGTGTCTCACCTTAGAGATCAGCATGCCTGGCATCTACTGAACACCCACTTCTGCCTAATCACTTGCCTGTGTTGCATTAAAATCTACTTAAAATACAATATGTGCACTTTAAATAAATGTATCATAGCATTAGTTTTGGCAGTAAAAAAAAAAAAAACTATTTGAATTTCCCAGCAAGCCAAAGTCACACAAACATGCTGATTGCTTACTGAAACCATTGTTGAAATGTTGAAATTTAGCAATATTCCAAGCAAGTACTTGACCTACAAATAATAGCATACTAAAATTGCATTATTTTTACCACACTTTCTAACATATATTTTGTGGTTTGCTCATTCACTGAAAAATGAACAGAATGAATCCATTTGGTGCTGTAAGTGATGTAATGCTAAATTTCTCTAAATCTGTTCAGATGACGAAACAAACTCATCTATATCTTGGATGATCTGAGAGTGAATACATTTTTCTTTCACTTTTGGGTAAACTATTCCATTAACAATTTGATATGAAATATACTGCATATCAAATACCAAATCAAAATATGCTTAAATATGATGTTTTGTATAACCAGTTGCTTCCTAAAACCAGTCTGTGAGTGTTAAGGAAGTGAGTCGATGTGCATATAGAATATCAAAGGCATTTGGAAATGATGCTAATAATCCTAGACTCCATCTTTCTCATGTACTGCAGGTGAAAAATCATTATAAGCTATACTGTGGTGAACGCTGGTCCTGCAGGCATGCAAACATAGATCAGAAAACAATGAGGATAAGGAGTGCCTGAGGTAACATAGATCTCTCTGTTTCTCTCTGCGACTATATCCGTTTCCTGTCTTTTACACTTTCTTCCCCCTCAGACAGACATAGAAGGTGCAGTCATGGAATAGTCTCTGCTCGCCTTAATTGAAACCTTGGCCAAGCAAGTGTGCTAAATTTAGCGGCCGTGTTCATCAAGCGTCGGAATGCCACATCCTTCATCCAAGGTCAAATAGGACCTATGGCTCTGTATTGCCGTTATTAACTCACAAGACAGAAAGTGGATTGGTAACAGTGCCATCATTTTGTCTTGATGATGAAAAGCCTGATAATTATTGGGATTAGTATAAATTGACTGTAATTACTGTGGCAGACTATGTGACATTGTATTGTATTTCAGTCTTCCCTGAGATTGAAATGACATCTGGAGAAGCTGACAAAGCTGTTGAATTTTTTTGTATCTTTTTCAACCAAGGCATCTATATTTTGTTCAAATGCACAACATAATTGTCAACAATTTTCAGTGCACATTAGCTTGCTTGACTAATACATTATAGAGTAAGAAGCATTAAATGGGCAAATGTTGTAATTTACTTTTTTTTACTTTACAAAAAGATAGAAAATAGGACTCTTAACTAATGTTTTTTTTCAACAAATTGTTATTAATAAAAAAATGTATCGTACTATATTTATTTGAATTCATTATGTTTATTATATATTATATTTAAATGTGCACTTTTGGCAACTCTGCGAATAGACATGATCATACAAATAAAAACTAGATAAACATCAAATAAATAAATAAAATAGATACAGTAGATAGATAGATAGATACACGCGTGAGGAAACGGGAGCCTGCGAGTATGGCAAGCCCAAAGGTTCAGAATTATGCAATAGATTAATCGCATTTACAGCCAAACACCATCAAATACGGTGTTTTAAACAGTATTTGCACCGCAAAAAACAAGCAAAAATACGTCAATGACGCCGTATCTGACGCCGTTTTAGTGTGCATGAATAATAATAATAATAATAAAATCAAACCGTTTGTCATTTCTCTTTATTTCTTTTTGTTCATATTTCGATTTGGTGGAATGCCGCGATAGGTGTCGTATTCCTATAGGTAGATGTGATCAGCTGAGAATCAGCTGATGCAAGCTTGACTCACGTGACCTGCCAGAACTAACGCTTAATTATAGGTATCGGGCGAGTACTGGAAAAAGTGGTATCGGTGCATCCCTACTCAAAGCTAATATAATGTCCTGTTATTTAGGCTATAAGTAAAAGGTAT